CATTCTTGAAAGAGGGGGTGTGTGTGGAGAGATGATACCAAGGGCTCAGTAGAAATAAATGTTCTGAAAATGATGATGGCAACACATGTACAAATGTGCTTGATAGAATTGATGTATGGACTGATATAAAGAACTGTAAGAGCCCCCAGTAAAATGAATTAATTTTTTAAAAATCACATTCTTTTTGCATTACCCTTGCTCACATCAGAAGCCTCTTAAGAATTTGGAAGTGCAAGCTTTCTTAAATTCTAATTTTCATTTGAAAGTGCAAATTTTATCATTGGCAACAAATGTCATCAATTGGTTTGTTTTTGAAGTGACAAGCTTGCTTCCTTCACTCTTAGGAAAATGTCTGACAAGCTCCCAGGTCTGAGTAACCACATTTTGTCGCTCTTTCAAATACAAATGGTTTCCATTTAAAAAAAGAAAGAAAAAAAAAAAGCTGTCAGTTCAGCTTTCAACTCCAGCAATCACACATGTACCTTCCCTTAAGACAAGCTCCACCCCCTTCAGCAATTGTGCACACACTTCTGATTGCATCACATAGAATATTAAGACACTGGCTCAAGGGTTGAATTTAATATTAGTAACGGCTTTTACTGTTTTATCAGGGGCATTCTACCAGGAAATGAACGCCTTCACTCCAAGTATGCTATAGCACAGTCTGCAGCCCGGCCGGGTTTGTGTGAAGACGCTACCATCTTATTCGTCATGGTTTCTGCACCATCGGGCAAATGCCAACAGTGAGAAGTGCTAATAACAAATTACTGTGAAACTGTAACCTTGACCCTAAAGAGCCTCTAACAGGTACTGCTCATGGTCAAGGCTCCTCTACAAATAGCAGCAGCTCAAAATGAAGCTACTACTTCCATAACCCCTACAACTTGCCCATCACCATTTGCTGCTGTGCCTTCAAAACACACACAAGCTAAGAGTGCGCAGAATACTACTTTTGAATTTTCCTCAGATACACGAGGGAAAAGCATGATCAGAAGCATCAAGCACTGTTCATTCAGTTTATGGTGTCTATTCCTAAGCTAGTTCCATAAGGCAAGGCCATGTGAGAAAGAGAAGGTAACGGAGGATGCAGGCTCAAGGGCAGTTAACAACCAGCAATCTTGGCAGGAACCACAATGGAACCAGAGCTCGGATGTGTCTCTGCAAGACTCAATTAAGCTTCCTCTCAGAAGGGGCAGCACAGCAGTGAGTCTAAATGACTGAAGATACCAGAAAAGTCACAGCGTGTGACAGGAGCGATAGAGACACGGCTGACAGGCAGCTTCGCCCTTAACGTCTTTCTTTATACCTCCCTCAGGTTCAGTCAACAGGAATATAGAAGCAAAGACATAAAATCTGAACACTCTTCGAAAGCTGCACCCAAACCTCAAACTCATGGCCATCCGGCCCATTTCCGTCACACATTGACCCCAAGGGTTTCCAAGGCTGTCGTCTTTAGAAGGCCGAATGCCACAGCCGGCTCCTGAGGAGCAGCAAGGAGGCTCCTTCCGAAAGGGACGTCGAACCTCAGCTGAAGAGCAAGGACAAAGTGCTGTTGTACTCAATTAGCCAGCCCGGAATGGGCCTAAACTAAATATGCTATCTTTATGCCTCGTCATTGCTAAGGTCAGACAACGAATGGGTCAGCGGAATACTAAGCCTAAGAACACGTGCCAGAGAACAGTCTACACTGCTTCCAGTGCCAGAAGGAGACATCCCTGTCCATGGCAGGGTCGACTCTCCAGCCACCTCCAGGACGGGCTAGGTCTCAGGAGGGTGCGCTGAGGCACACAGGTGATCAGCGGTAGAGCCAAGGGCCAGTGTCAGCCGTGCGCCCACTCCAGAATCCCTGCACTCCTCTGTAACTTTCCCAGAGCGGACGAGCAATGCGCCTCCACAGGGCAGCTGCACCTGTGCTTGGTTTGCACCCAGAGTGGGGCTTCTTGAGCGCTCGCTGCAGAGGAGACGTCAACCATGGGCCACAGGGCTGCCTTGACTCTGGAAGTCTCGGACAAAGTGTGGAGTGAAACCACACATTGGCAGATTAGCTCAACAATATCCTGCGACCTAAATTCAATTCAGTACAAGCAAGCACACCCAGCTACCTAGTTGCCATTCCAAAGGGTTTTCAATATTCGCTGGTGAGCCCTGGTGCCTTCTCAGCAGTTCTCATCAGACTGGTGAGTGGAAGCCTGGGGGGTTCCTGCTCCCGAACAATCACTCTCTGCTAAAGAGGCCCCCTGCTGTCACCTGGAGGAGAAAATGAGACACGCCTACTCTGCCCCAACCCAAACTCTCCAAACTTGCTGCCATTGAGTCCCCTGCTGACTCACAGTCCCAGGTCCTGATCCACACTTTCTCTTTACGACAGATGCTGGGAGACGATTCTGACTCAATTTGGGGTTCAATTGCTGTGCAATCTGCCCACACAGAGAACTTAACCAAGGTACTCAGCTAACTGACGAAGTCTCGAGGAGAAAATGGCCAGAGATCGTTCCCAATGGGCCAGTTATCCCCAAAGCCCCTAAACGCAAGTTGGAGAAGCAGCCAGAGGGATCAGAAAAGCAGCAAACCAAACTCACTGCCAGTGGGCCACGCTGACACACAGCAACGCCCTGTGGGTTTCCAAGAAGGGAGTAGAAAGGCTGGACTTTCTCCCTCAGAGCTGCTGGTGGTTTTGAAAGGCTGACACCACTCAGATCGCAGCCCACCCCCTACTCCACCAGAGGGATTAGAAGGAAGACTCAAAGTCCCAAACCCATGGCCATTGAGTGGATGCTGAGTTGACTTTGACAGAGTAGAACTGCCCCATGGCGTTTCTAGACTGTAAATCATCACTGTGAAAGCAGACCGCCCATCTTTCCCACGGAGCGGCTGGTAAGGGTGAACTGCGTGCCACCTTTGAGGTAGCAGCTGAGCCTGGTAAACCACTACACCACCAGGGCTCCTTCAGCAGGATAAAGATGGGGACACAGAAGCCGGTGGGGAAGATGAGCTGCAGAATCCACAGAGGGAGGAGCATGATGCCAAGAGGAAAAATACAAATAAAATGTATCAAGTGAAAACAGTGCCCCTTGGGATTTTAAAAGGTATTTGGCCCAAAAGCCAAAAGAACTAATTCAGAATTACTGATGTGTAGAAGGTGAGATATGTTTTCCAATATGCTAAAATGAGAAAAAGATGTATTCATTAAGTTATGAAAATAGTACATCTTCTTTTGTATTTAAGATACTTAGGATTAAAAAGAGAGAGAGACAAGAATATCCCCCAAACAACAGTTATTCCTGGGGGGATGGGAAGGGGGTACGGGAGAGGGGACAGGGACTTTCATTTTCTGATTTGGGTTTTTCAATGTGTGTCAGGATGTTTGTCAGGTGCTCATCGATTTTATTCTTTTATCATTTTCCTTTGCCAGATTCCAAGAAGGCAGGAGGCTCCTCTATGTCTCTTGGGCTGAGGGGACAATGTATACTCAGACCAGTGTCCCAAACAAGAGGTACTGGACCTCCACATACCATATGGGTCAGGACAACAGGAATCTCAGCAGTAACTATGAAGGAGCACGGAAAGTTCATGGAAAAATTCCATTTTATTTCCATTTTTCTATGAACTTAAAAAAAATTTTTAAATCATTTTATTGGTTCTATGAACTTATAACCCCCCCTTGTCTTGTGGTCAGAACTAAAGAAACCCCCCAGAATCCTGTGCTCTAAATAAGAACTAGATAAGGCTCTAGATAAGGCCCTATCTGCCCTTCTCAGGAAAGTGCAACATCAGATTTAATTTAATTTAAAGAGGTAACATCTCCTGAAAGGGACGAATAACAGAAATGTGGGTGAAGGAAGACAACGGACAGTGTAGGATATGAAATAACAATAATATATAATTGATCAAGAATACACGAGGATAGGAGGGGGAAAAAAGAGGAGCTTATATGAAGGCCTCAAGTAGAATATGTTCTGAAAATGATGATGGCAACATATGCACAGATACATTTGATACAACTGATATATGCAATGCTTTAAGAGCTGTAACAGCCCCAGTAACATGATATTAATTATATACCAAGCTTATGAAATAAGATTTATAATCACTACATTTCCCAATATTTCTAAGATAAGCCCAGTTTACTTTTATTTATTTATTTATTTTTCCAGTTTACTTTTATTGTCAGGAAAAAAGTAACAAATGACCATACACACGATTAGTCATGGAAAATCTGCTGTAAAGAAAAGACCACTAATATCAGCACTAGCTCTATGATATCACGGATCTGCAGGCAGATTCAACATTTGAAAGAACCCGGCTGGCTTCTCGGCCCTTATGGTCTGAAAGTCCTGTTCCGCCATAGCAGTCTGGGGCCGTGAGCACACGCCAAACGGCTCCACAAACACAGAAGCACATACGCCACTTTCCTTGCGGCTTCGTTTCTGATTTAGCAGGTACAGTTAGGAAATCAAGAAGGTGGACAGAGGTTCTAATAGCATGGCCACATAACACTGGAGCTTTTAAAGTTCTTCCTGGCACCAGAGTCCCCTTTTAGATGAATACCAACACATCTATTTTGAAAGCGTGTTAAATCAGCAGGAAGGGATGCTTTGCACATAGCCATCTCCAATCCATAATACCTCCTGTTCTCACAGTGAAGTGTTATCTTTCCCTGGTCCTTCCAAGACAAGAATTTTTTTGGGTTCATCCTGGCTCAGTTTTGAGAAGGTGAAAATCACGATCATGAGGAGAAATGAAATGAATCATCTTAATAAGCAGCAGTCACACCGAAGCCTCCTTGTACACAGGTTTCTGGAACCTTCAACACCTGCTCCTCTAGTGAGCAACCCCAACTGCTCTTACAGCGTAACCTCCCAGCACCTCCCTGGCCTGCCTCCCAGGAAGACAGCACCCGCCCACAGCTGCCCCCACCCCACCTCCCGCCCATGCGGCGCTCAGGCACACGGGGGCTCAGGGAGAGGTGAGCAGCACAGAAAGAGCACAAGGGAACTTGCCTTTTCCATCTGTTGCTGAGGCTTCTTGTAAATGTCTGATTGACCTGGAAATAACATTTGGAGAATAACAGTTAGCTAGCAAATCTGCAGGATTCCTGATTCTAGTTCTTATCACTTGGGATAATCCTGGGCAAAGTCACAAACATTGTGGGGCCTTGAAATCCCTCCATTATAAAACTAAAAGGGTTGTACTCTCCCTAACTTAAAAAAGAACGAGAGAGAGCGAGCTTTGGTAACCAACTGGGTTGTGTATGGTGCTCAAGTCTGAGTTAACAGTGCCCTCTGCTGGCCAAATGTGTGGCAGAGCCTGGCAGGAGCCAGGGTGTGAGAACACAAAACCAACATCCATCAATCAACTCTCCTGATGGCCATCTATTCTCCAGCTCCAAGAACTACTTCACACACACACACACACACACACACACACACACACACACACACACGCGCGCGCGCGTGGCAGTGAACTCAAGCTCACTAGCTCCCTGGAAAGAACACTCCTCTCAGCTCACTGACTGACGACACCCAAAACCCCTACTGCTGTCTACTGAGCTCCAACTCGTAGGACCCAGCCTGATGACGGACTGCTTGTAAAGTCTGGGTCTAGGTCATGTGAGCATATGGCTTTTTAAAACGTGGGTGTTTCACTGACTAGAGATTGAAAACCTTGCCCAAAATCGCTAGCCTCCAGGGGTCTCTTTTCTGACTGTGATATGTGGTAACTAATCACCATCGTTTCAGCTCAGGCAGGGGAACATGAACACTATTAATGAGGCCCTCGATTGGAGTTCTAGGTCCAGTTCAAAGCCACCAAGGAACAGACTCCTGTAAAGGCTAAGCACAACACATCCTGACGCGGGGAGAGCGAGGGGAGGGGCATCTGACAGAGCCAGGTTTAAATCTGACATTAAAAAATGAATAAAATCTGAGCCTGGAAAATGACTGCCACAGAGCCTTAGTTGTTTGCCCATCATGCTGTTAATTTGTAGGGTAAGACACCCACGAGTGGAATTCTGGGTCACATGATAGTTCTACTTTTGCTCTTTGGAGGAACTGCCACCCTGGTTCCCACGACGGCGGCACCATTCCCACTAAAATGAGCCGTGAGCCCCTCCCACCCTGGGCAGCGCTTGTGGTCGTGTTTCTGTCACTCAGTGTCACTCCGGGGGAGGAAGGGGCATCTCACTAGTTCCATCTGCATCTCTCAACCGGCTACTGCTGGTGGCAAGTTGGTTGGCTGGCTTTGGTAATGGCTAATGATGATGACTGTGTTTTCAAATGCTTATTGGCCAATGGGATACCTCCTTTGGTAAAGTATCTGTTCACATCTTTTGCTCATTCTTTTACGAGATTATGCCATTTCTGTGGTTAAGATGTAGAAGTTTTATATATAATCTAGATACCAGACCCTGAGTTCTCAAAGATTTTTTTGCCCTCAGTCTTGGTTATCTTTTGATAAAGGTAATAGTAGCTTTTTACTTATGGTGATGGGAAAAGTGACATTGAATGTGGATAAAAATTACACAACCTGAGTAATGTGACATTATTAAGCTGTACATAAGAAGAAAGAAAGAAAGAAGCCGAGAAGCCGAATTGGCAATTACATTATATATAATTTGGACCAATGCCCACTCATCCTGCAAAAGGAGGGGTCACAACTGGTGATACTACTTAGACAAAACCACGGAATTCCTGGCACTAGTCTTCTCGGTTAAGGATTAGGGCCATGGTCTTGAATGACAAACGAGCCAACTGGCAGAATATAGCTTTGAAGTTTCTATTCTACTTCCCAGTGTGGTGAGGAGTAGCTGGAGTCTTGAGGGCTTACAATCAGCCAAGCTGCAACACTGGTTGCTACCTGCCTGGAAGAACAGGAGTCAGAAACCAAGAATCCAGAGAAGCAGCTGAACTGATAACCTCTAGTAACCATTGCCTTCGCCTAACATGAGACCAGGAAAAATGATGGCGCCCGGCCCACCATGACTGAATGTTTCATTCAGGGGCACAATGTTTGGATCTTGACAGAAAGGGGAAAAGTGTGGAACAGAACTTCAAACTCCCAAAGAGTTCACTTACTGGACCCACAGAGGGGGGAGGAACCTCAAGAACACTCTTCACTCCCTGAAATGGTCTTTAAACAAAAGAAGTTTCGTTCTTAAAGACTACATCTTTAGGTGTTGTGTCCGATGCAGGTGAGGCTGTTAACGAAGGTGAGGCAAACAACTAGCAGAATGAGCAAAGGGACACAAAGTGAACATGTCGCTGAGAAATATGTGTAGAGGAAGCACATTTTCTCAAGTGTATATTTTCTCCAAAAATAAAGTTAAATTAAAAAAAATAATAAAATAGCTACTATTTCTAAAGTTATCCCTCTAGTACTGATTTTTTTTCTCATTTTACATCAACATTTATAATATTTATTGTAAAGAATCTTGCCATTTGCATTGGCTCATCAGTGTTGTCAACAAGTGGCAAGAAATTGCCACTGTGGCTCTATGGTTCTTCCAGGGCTTACCAACACCTCACAATCCATACATTTTACTGTTCTGCTAACGGCAGATATATTTAAGAGGAGGGTACCACACACTGTTCTTTAAAAGATGTTCCTTTCTCTCTAAAAGACAGTGCTGGGTCACCCTATATGAGGGGGTATCCCCCCGCCAAAAAACTTTTTTTCCCCAAAGCTATGTATTTAAATTTTTTACAAAACAACCTTATCACCTTCAAAGTACTCTCCTTGACACTTAATACATTTGTCAAATCGGTGATTCCATTCTAGGAAACATTTTTCAAACTCATCTGTTTGGATGGCTGACAACACCTCCTTCGTTTTTTTCTTTACCTCTTCTACTTCGTCAAATCGCTCTCCTTTCATGTCCCTCAGCATTCGCAGAAACAAAAATAAGTCGCTAGGAGCGACGTCAGGTAAGTAAGGTGCGTGGGGCAAGAGAGGCATGCTGGTTTTTTCCAAAAACTGGAGCACTGAGAGGGCTGCGTGAGCAGATGCACTGTCGTGGTGGCAAAACCAGGCCCCGTCTGCCACAAATCAGGCCTTTTTTGTCACACTGTTACGCTACCTTTTCAGAACCTCTAAATAGAAAGGTTGATTAACAGTCTGACCTGGTGGAGCAAACTCCAAATGCACTACGAGTCCTCATTTTCACCCTTTCAGGATTGGATTGACCTATGTCCAGGATGAGGTTTGCCATCAACTGACATTTCACCTTTTTTGGAATGAGAAAATCACTTGTACACTGGAGTTTTTCCCTATCATACTGTCTTTGTAAGCTGTGTTCAACATCACAACAGTTTCGGTGGCATTTTTCCCCAAGCAGGAAGCAAAATTTCATAGCTGCACGCTGTTCTCTTAAATGGGCTGTCACAAAAAACAAGGTTCAAGCAAAACTGTTTTTATGGGAAAATTCACTGTGACCAGAAAACCTCTCCGGCGACCCCAGTGGGTACACTAACTCAACGTGAGTTGTTTGATGGTCTCCCAGCGGGAAAAA